TTTTTTTAATCCATGCAGCAAATGCTTTAAAATAGCTTTAAAAAATTACTTTATTGCATTCCAGACGCTTTTAAAGTACTTTTCACTATACATTTTACAGGTAGCTTGAATGTAAAACGTTGTCATGAATTCGTTGTATTGCCATTTGTAAAATAGCCTACAAATTAATTGCTGTAGGCTAACCCGATCTCATGAAAGTGCGTATAGCACGATTTTCTGCTTCTATTTGGCGTAATATTTATATGCAGAAATTGACTTTGGCATGCAAAAGACTGATCAATTCATAATTAATGGCATGGCTGGTTCAGTCGACAGAAATACGGGACACACAGGCCTATAATAACTGCTGAAATGTTTGCGGGGCAAATCTCAGGTCAGTCTGAGCGCTCAAGGTACTCACAGCCGTACACCTGCAGGCACCACTGCACACTGCCAACATTTCAGTTCAAACAACTTGTAAAAATATATGTCGCATCCGATGACCCCTTTAAGTAACATGAACAACTCTTAAAGGAAAAAATACATTACATCTAAAGTTTGGGATCAAATGACATCAAATACATTTATATTACAAAAGATTTATACTTCAAATTAATGTGGTTATGCATATATTGGAGGAGGGCTGGTTGGTGTCGCTGATGATTTTATTACTAACGTGGCTGAACAGGTGTGTGATATTACTGTATTATTCATAAATGCCCAGCAGTTTTTTTTTACAGTGGCCCAGTAGTGCGCAACACAACGAAATTAGCACAACACAATGGAAAAAAGCCACAACACAACAAAATTAGCACACCAAAGCGGAAACAAGCCACAAGTCAGTCTGAGCGCTCATGGTACTCACAGTGCGTACAGCCGTACACCTGCAGGCGCCACTGCACACTGCCAACACGCATTTCAGTTCAAACAACTTGTAAAAATGTAGGCTATGTTGCATCCGATGACCCCTTTAAGTGACATGCACAACTCTTAAAGGGAAAAAATACATTACATCTAAAGATTGGGATCAAATGACATTTATATTACAAAAGATTTATACTTCAAATTGTGTGGTTATTTTAAACTTTCTTGAAGGGATAGTACACCCAAAAATGAACATTCTGTCATACTCACCCTCATGTCGTTCCAAACCCATAAGACCTTCGTTCATCTTCGGAACACAAATTAAGATATTTTTGATGCATTCTGAGAGCTCTCTGACCCTCCCATAGACAGCATGGATCCTAACACGATCAAGGCTCAGAAACATAACAAGGAGATCGTTAAAATAATCTATGTGACATCAATGTTTCAACTGTAATTTTACGAAGTTATGACAATACTTCGCCATTTTGGAGAGTATCACATAAACAATGTATGCTGTTCTGTGTCAGCAGCACCGTACGCGGATACGCTGTTGTTTACGCTTTGATCTGAACATAAACAACATATTCAACATATCCACATATAGGCTACTCTCCAAAATGGTGCTATAGGGTGACGCGGAGGAGACGAATTGTTGAATAAAGTCGTTATTTTTGTTTTCTTTGTGCACAAAAAGTAATCTTGTAGCTTCCTAAAATAATGGTTGAACCACTGATGTCACATGGATTATTATTTTAACGATCTCCTTGCTACGTTTCTGAGCCTTGATCGTGTGTTACGTCTACGGGAGGGTCAGAGAGCTCTCGGAATTCATCAAAAAATATCTTAATTTGTGTTCCGAAGATGAACGAAGGTCTTACAGGTTTGGAACGACATGAGAGTGAGTAGCCTAATTAATGACAGAATTTTAATTTTTCTGTGAACTATCCCTTTAAAGCATGGTTCCACAACAATATTAAGCAGCACTTTTTTTCAAGATTGATGATAACATTTTTAAAGCTGCAGTATGTAACTTGCCTCTCTATCGCCATTTCTGTTGCTTGCGGATTGATTGATTGATTGATTGATTACATGTACGGCACTGCTGCGTGGATGAATATGTGATGGCGACATCGGATCTCTTGGATCTTGGATACCTAACTTACCTGAATCAAGCAAACAAGTGCTCTAATGATGGTTAGCTATTGAGCCACGTACTGACATGTCTTACCTGTTCAGCGGGAAAAAAAGGCGTCTCTACATCAGTCTTTTAACCCTTCAGATTTTGCCAGTTGTTACCATTTCTCGAAAGCCATGCCGATATTTACTCTGGTATTAGCACAGACTTCTGTCGCCGTCTTTCGCAGACTCGCCACAGTTTGAGGTGATTTCGCCTTTGTCAACGATGATTGGCACTTAGAACTTTACTGATTTAAAGCATCGGGATGACAAGTTTAAATTCTAAGCAATTCATTTCCAGAGGCGGACAGTAGTGAAGTATTTTGACTTTACTCAAGTAAATTTAAAAAGTATCTGTAGTTTATCAGTGTTTTTCTTTGGAAAACTTTTACTTCACTACATTCCAAAGCATAATATCATACTTTTTACTGCACTACATTTCATAAATACAAGTTGTTTGTTTTACCTTAGGCCTATATAAAAAATGTAGTACTTTCTTGTACTCAAGTAAATCTTTGAATTTATAAGAAAGTAATATATTTCAAATATAATTAAGTAGCCTATTAAATGATATTTAATATGAAACGTAGTGCAGTAAAGAGTACAATATGCTTTGGAATGTTGTGAAGTAACATTTTCTAAAGAAAAACACTCTGATAAAGTACTTTTACAGCTAAGTAAAAATACTTCACTACTGTCCGCTTCTGTTCATTTCTGAGAACACGCTACAAAGCTCCTCAAAACAGGCCTAATAGTCGCCAGGTCTTATTTGCGTCAATTTCCCAAAAAATCGGACCCTACAACTTAAATTCTAAATCATTATTATAATCTTACCATTGCGAATCGAGGAAAGAAGACTGCTTTGAACAGAACAGTTTTGTCTTATGTATGTGCCAATAACCGATGTTTGTTCATTTAACCAAACGTTACATATTGCAGTTTAAGCACCAAATCAACATAAGATACAAATATTTTATTTAATATTATAATTATTATCATTAATGCTACATGTATGTGTGCTTCAAATCATTTCAATTTCAAACAAATGCTGTTCTTTTGAACTTTCTAATCATCCTGAAAGTGCACATTTTGTGGAAATATTCAATTTCAATATTCGATCAACAAAAATATTAAGCAGCACAACTGTTTTCAACATTAATAGCAAGACATTTTTCATATTGTTATTGCCTTATATGTTTCACCAAATCAGCATATTAAAATTATTTCTGAAGCATCATGTGACACTGAAGACTGGAGTAATTATGCTGAAAATGCAGCTTTGCCGTCAGTAATAAATACAATTTTAAATATAGCCTATTTAAAAAGAATACAGTACATTAAAATTGTAATATTTCACAATATTACCGTTTTACTGTATTTTTGATCAAATAACTGCTGCCTTGGTATATATTATGTATTACATACATACGCATTCATTTTTGGTGAATTATTTCTTTGTCACAGATGCATATACTGTATTCAGGGGTTTATGTAAAGTCCATTCAGTTTATTTTACTCAGTAAACATTGACATATCCACACAGGACAAAATTCTACTTAATGCCATAAAAAAAAACATGGATTAAAAAACAACAACATACAATTACAAATAAGCGTACACACACAAACTGAAACCTGTGTAAATGCTTTAACACAACCAGAAAGACATTATACAAGAAATGATTCCTGAAAAAGCCCAAAGGGAATTTCCATGTAATGTTCATAGCTGGCAAAATTTGGAATATCATGGATTAAAACACAGTGTTTGACCAAATATCCCTTAGAAATCCCCTTAGAAAAGGGCGTTCCCTTTTTAAAGACATTTTAAATGAAGAACAATGCACATTGCAATAAAACAAGAGGTTAATTCATATTAAAGTGCAACTAAACGCTGACTAGAATGAACTCTGAGTAAATAATTACATGTGGGGGAAAGGGGGGGGGGGGATTCATCATGTGCTTCTCCAACCTTTAGCTCCACATCATGAGTCATGAGTCATGACATGATCATTTGTGTTGTTATTCTGGTTGAAACAGGTTTTTCTAGCACAATTAAACAAAACATCAACAGTCGTTTAAAGGTATTTTACAGTAGAGTAAATCTGAATTGATTGTCGCGCCGAATGCATTATTGTTTTGGCGCACACTTCTATCATCCACTATCAAGACCACTTGAACCTTTGAAACCCATTCAGTAGTTATTGGAAAAGGATTTTCCTGTGCAGGGAGAGAATAGACATTTTGTTCTGCTTTTAGACAAATGCAGTGTCAACATATAATGTAATTCAGTTATAAACATGTTGGATGGCTAGCAGGATGCTAATTCAATCAGCGTTCTAGCCAGAGTCTCAGTCTAGCAGAGTCTGAAGGCACTTCTTCTGCAGTGTGAGAAGATTCAGAATAACCGAACCTCTCGTCCAGTGTGTAGACACATTTCAGAAATTAATTTCATATAAAATAAGGGGGAAAAGATTAAATGGAATAGTTCGTCCAAAAATGTAAAAAATAATTTTTCGTATTTCAAACCATGGGATGTGCTTCCCAAAGCAACTATAGTCGCAAGTTCCATCATTACCAATAGAGTTCAATGGAACTTGTGATCATACTTAGGCCTAGTAGTAAATGACTGTTTTTGTGAACTAGATCAACTGATTCATTGAAAAGATCTGTGATTTGTTCATGATTTAAACACACAGTATCAGCGAGCTAAAAGATTTCCATTGAATAACCACTTTAATTTGGGTCTGTTCATCACACAACACTACTGGATTCATAATATTCAGAATCGAGTATTGTGGACACTTTTATGATACATTTACAGTGCTTTTGATGGAAACGTGCATCCAGCAGTCTTCAAAATATCTTCTATTGTGTTCCACAGATGAAAGCAAGCCATACCAGTTTGGAAAGTGAACCGAATATCCATTTTTGGGTGAACTATCCCTTTAAAAGTATACATTTTCCCCATTTCCCACACTGCACGCATCTACAGACAACATTGCCGCACATATTGAAACCAAAAGCAAATGACAAAAGTGCAAAACAAGCTCTAATTTAAAAGTGCAGGGTGCTAAAACACAAACAGATAGACTATCTTGTTTGACAGAATCTAAGTGGGTGTCACGACGACAGACAAAAATGCAAGAAACTTGTGGTGTTAAGCGCTACAGCGCATTAATATTTACAGTAAATCTGAAAAATAACCACAGAAAGTCCATTTGTCTTAAACTACACAAGGAAAATAAAGATTATGGTACAACTTTTTGGCATTTTTTTTTCTTTTCTTCGATGTACAAAAAGAGGCTCCTAGAATTCTTAGTATACACACTGTTCTACAAATAATTATTAAGTCATACATATACATACATATATAGAGAGAGTTCATACTGTACATGTGTCTATTATGAGCTTCCTAAAGCTTTGGAATGTCCGTGAGTCGTGGCTTTCGTCAAGCCGTGACCGTGCAGTCAACGGAGCGGCGAGCTGCTGCAGTCCCTGTCGCAGCCGCTAGAGGCCGCCGTCGCTTGCTCCTGGTTCCGTTCCTCCTCCGTCTGCTCGGAAAGGAAGCTTTGAAACGTCTGCGCTCGTGGAATGAGCGTCATAGTCAAGCTCGTACCTTGAAAGAGCCAAAGAGATTATAACACGTGTTATCGACACGGCACCGATTCCAAAAGACATTCGAGAAAAGATCATAAGTGTACGGCAAAACACATTCCTGCGCTTTTGAATGCATGCATTGATCGCCTTTGTGCATTAATATCACACCGTTCCTCAAACAAGACGGAAAAACGATCTTGGCAACTCTCCACCTATCAGTGTTTGGCAGGCTCGCAGGAGACGAAGATGGCTTAACTCGATTTTCTAGAGGTGATTGTGTGATCAATTATGGATGAGGAGGAGTAGAATATCCAGGGTGAGACGAGGATACTTGCTCTCCAAGTAGGCGAAGCGCGCAAAACTTGTTTCTTAACAATCCCGAGCCCATATATATAGAGCACTGCCTCAAACAAGTACAAGCTCACCGAGCGAATGACATAGACCTTATTTAGAATCCAACCGAGCCGCTTCTGAGAACGTACAGGTATTGCATGGAAGACTGTAACTTGTTACAGGTGGGTGGGTTGGGTGAAATGTTTCTTTTTTGAAAAACCAATGTATTTTGGTGCATGCTGAATCCTGCGCCAGCTCTCTGTCCCCAATTCGCATACGATCCGTCCTAAATAATAATTAGTGCGTCCCAAATCGTGCGTCGTGTTTTGAGAATAGTATGCCAAAGGTGCATACTATTTCCAGTATATTTATGCTTTTCAGATATCACTACACAATGTCTTGTAAACGCTCTCATTTTATCTATTAATATATAATAATTTTATCTATTAGTAAATTAATGTTATAGATCTTACTGTTAACAATTCATCCACGGATAAGCCTACGTTTTATATTTGAATTTTTTTTAACCTCATGATTTATCAAAATGTCATAAACTTCCAATTCATCAGTGCCATATTTCTCCTATCACTTTGTCTGCTTAACCCTGTAACGCCTGACAAATGAAATAAGTCAGAGATTTATTTATTTAAACAAAACAGTTTATTGCACCTTAGGCCATTTTTTTTTTGAGTATCATAATTGATACATGAGGGTTTCACGGCATATATGGAGCTCACACTTGAGAAGGAAAAAATATACAGAATTTGATTACATTTTATTTAGAGGCCTAAACTGAGCAATAACATGCTGATATTTATATGGCCAAAAGATAAGATTAAATGCTAATATCTTGTTTAAATCAATGAGATCTTTATAAGCAGACTACTTACATAAAATGCATATAAATATCAGTTGTCACACTATATCTCCCAACAATGTCTTACAATGATATTTAAATGCTTGTTGTATGATCAAATTTTATGTATTATTATTATTAATAATTTATTTATTTTTTACAGCTGACTTCAACAACCCACCCTACATATCTGTTATGCTGAGAGGTATGGCTCAATATGGAAACAAAGATCTGCTGCTACTTCCATTTGATCGCAACTTTAAATGTACAGTATGCACTTAGAAGTGGTAGTGTGTCCCAATAGTTAATGCGACAGCATCTACTTGCCAACCACTAGAGTACAGTCCTGTATACACATTCAGTGTGTAATATAAGCAGTCAATCACACTATGCTTTGTGCCAATTCACAGTGCAAAAAAAGATGTATGAGAGTGGCACAAGTTTCATTTTTATACGTGTACTATTGCTAGAACATTTAGTTTGTTTATAACTTACTGGAATGCAGTACTGACTACTAAGAGTGTGTTAATATACAAAGCAGATATTCAGCAGATATGTTAATTTATGTGCTGATACAGATATGTGAGTGATTCAGGTATTGATTTTATGTATATTCTATTTAATTTCTGAGACCTTGACCTTACTTGTCCACACATAACGCTTTGCTTAGCAGTCATTAAAACATCACCGACAGGACTTGAGCCTAAAGTGTCTGCATCTTTAATTGTGTGAACTAGTGACGATCAAATAGAGTTTAGTTCCAACCCTCCTCATCCAAAAGTCCGATCGCCCTTGTGTTTTCCTGAAAATTCCAGGCAACTTGGAGGAGGGTTGAATGTGGCAGAACTGAGCGCTCCTGCTCTGCTACATGATTCAGGCGGCACAGAAGGTGTCCTCTCATCCAGATTTCACACTTTTGATGTAAGCGGATTTGTGGGAGACTGTATGAACCCAAGGGCAGTCGGAGCGCCACTTGTCCTGCATGCTTGGTAAACATGTTATGCCTCTGTGGCCCCAGCGACCTGCCAACAGACACCATCCACATGTGTGTTTCCATCACCTTAGGAAATTGCAGTCAGGGTACCGTGCCACAGATGATCTGAGCTGGCAGTGAGCTCTACAGGATGGAGGAAATGAAGCAACGGCCAGATAAACAGCACACACACATGGACACTCTCACAATATTTGCAATGTCTGGAGCCTACAAGCTGCATCACTTTCTTATAACAAAGGCAATACAGTGTACCTGTGCAGCCAGGAAACTGTATCTTTATCAAATACTGAGTCAAACTATAACGAAAAACCAGATGACGTGACTGTAGTCTACATTATAAATAAATTATTAATTTCAACAGACAACTACAGGACATGAAAAAACATTATGTGAACACAAAAAATAATTTTGTGACCTTCAGGAAATTCTATATTATTGTTTATAGATTATTATAATTAGATTATATAAATAATAAATATATAAATGATTAATTAATATAAATTATAAATTCTAAAAATAAAAAATAAACAGTTGAAAGAATATATTAGTATCTGATTTGTCCAATGAATGTGTTTTATTATGTACAAGTTTCTTAAAAAAACTTTTTTTTTCTTGTATGGTATTAAAAAATATATATAGAGATCTATATTTCTTGTTTAAGTTGTACTAAAATTACTACAACTAAAATAAAAGTAAATAAAAACAACTAATTATAAATAACTAAAATAATACTGCAAAGACACCTTATTAAACATCAAACACTAAATCAGGAAGTAAAAAGACAATCTCCTCTTATCTTTGTCATTAAAGGAGCAACATGCACAGAAAATGTGTATTGATTTATTTTCAAACTCTGGCATCGTGTTACATTTATTCTAACTAATAACATCGACAGAAGTGCCGCTGTGTTTGACTCCCCAATTTTGACTGCAAACAGCCAGTTGGCCAACACCATCAGTTCCCACCGCAGGGGCTCCAACTAACAACGACCAGAGAAGAAAACAAGTGACAACCTCTCGATTCTTCTTCATTAGTTCCTATGAAATGACAGAAGCCAAACAAGCTTTTCGTACCTCACTTGATAAATAATATAAATATAAATGATAAATTACTATTGAACAACAAGTTAAAAAAACAATTAAAAGATTGTCTTTGTATCTGATTTGTCCAATGAATATTTCTTATTCTTTAGTTTCTTTAAAATAGTTTCTTATAAAATAGTTTTTTTTTTCTTTTGTGATCTTCAATATATATATATACAGTCAAACCAAAATTGATATAGTTTAGAAAATGGTCATAAAATATGACAAGAACTCAAGAGTTAAACTGTGTCAGAACAAATTCATCTTGATAGAGAACTTTGATAGAAAGGTATGTAACAAAACATGGTCAGGTAAAAGTGTCAAATCAAATTTTTGGTCACAAATTTGTATCAGTTTTACTGGTAGTCCACAACGACCAGAGAAGAAAACAAGTGACAACCTCTCGATTCTTCTTCATTAGTTCCTATGAAATGACAGAAGCCAAACAAGCTTTTCGTACCTCACTTGAAACAAGCCAGTCTTTAAAAAAAAAAAGAAAAGAAAAAAAAAGTCATTATACTGCAGATCTGTTGCTCAAAGTTCTGGCCCGGATTCAGTCGGGTAGGACAAAAAAAGGAATTATCTGCCAGGATGGTAAACAAGCATATTTGTTGTGTGCAAGACAGCTCCTGCTGCACCGGGGCTCTGGGTTACACCACAGCTGTCTCTCTCACACACACACACACACACACACACACACACACACACATAAATGTGTACATACACTCGCACAAGAGGCTGCAGTACACTGATCTAACCTGGTGAGACACAGAAGATTTGTCATTGGCTTGACATTAAAGCAAGGCGGTCACACCAGTCTGACTTGACACAGCAGCTCTAGAAAAACTACAGTATAGTATTGTAAGAGTATTGTGCTTGCTTTAACCTGTTGTATATATTGTGTATATTTCATTATTTTAATGCTTTGAAAAATTGTAATCCCTCACAAACATTCAAATATATTGTTCAGTGAGACTGACAGATAGATGTAGCTGAAAAAAAGAAAGAAAAATATTTACAGTATGACATCTCTGCCATTGCATCATGGGCCGGTTGCATCAGCTCAGTTTAGCTGGCATAAATGGGCACTAAGTTGCAACCAACGCACCACTAACAATATGTGCATTATGCTGTTAAACTTAGTTACAACATATAAACAACCTCACATATGAATTAAATATTTATGAGCAGTGGTACTGTAATGGCTGCCAACTGCTAACTTGGATCTTTCTTGGAGTTGTTAGTTACAGCATGGAACCGATCTAACATTACAAATTGAATACAATATTATTCAGTACAATATATACTCAACACAATTGTATCATTTTTAGCGAACTGTTGTATTCACGTTCACGAGTTTTGTTTACAGCAAAAAATTAAAAAAAAGTCTCCTTGTGGTTTACATTGAAATCGGCCAAAATTTTTCTATACAAATCCTCATTTTGTACTTCTAATTTGTGACAAGTGTTTTGTATTGCTCTCTCCTGCGTTCATCTACGTCATCAGCTGGAACGCCACTCTCTCATGAATGCGCGTACGACAGTTAACAGAAGCTAGAGATTATGGTTTATTAAGTTTTAAATATGGATATTTTTCTTACACAAACGAATTGCTTCGCTTCAGAAAACTTTTATTAACCCCCCAGATCCGTGTGGAATACCTTTTATGATGGATGGATGCACCTTTTTGGGCTTCAAAATCTCAACCCCCATTCACTGCCATTATAAAGCTTGGAAGAGCCAGGACATTTTTTA